TGGGTTTTCTTCGGGCGTGGGGCTTTTGGCTTTTACGTTCGGTGTTCGGGCGAGGGCGAATCGCTTTCGGTTTGCTTTGCAATGCTGTAGCATTCACTCATTAGCTTGCTCGGAGATCGAGAGTAGATGACCGATCGGAAGTGGAATCCGATGGTCCAAGGCTCGGATGATGTTTAATACATCGATTTCTCCTGTGACGAAGGTGGGTCCTCCTGCCTCCATTTCTCCTAGAGACGGTCGCCACTCCGCCACCTCTTTCGGTTTTGGCGCTGGTCTGATTGTTCCGATCATTCCAAGCCTGGGATAACCAAGGGATACGTATTGGTCTAGCGAGATTAGCTCGGCGGCTTCTTCCGTGGTGGCCAGGGCACTTCCCCCACCCTCTATTTCTTCCATCAAGGCTCCGACTCGTCCAGGTCCGTTAGCGATCGGGGCCGCAGCCATGGGCGCGACCCCGATCCGCTGTTGTGGGGGTCGGTGAGGGCAATCACGAGCTAGATGTCCAGGCTGATGACAGGCATAACAGACGTTCAGATTATTCGCGGCTCCCCCGAGAGCAGGTGCCGGAGCCAATCCTTGCTGCATCGGAGGGGCGTGCCCCGCAATAGGCCGCATGTTCCTCATCATGGCTTCCAGTCGAGCATTGTGCTCTCGCTGCTCCTTTTTGCTTTCCTGGATTAAACTAATCAATGTTTTGGTTAGTTCGAAAATGGCCGCTGATTCGTTTGATCGTACGGGAGCCTCAATCGGTGGCGGGGGTAACGCTCTGACGGGTGGGGGTATCACAAGAGCGGAGGTGCTCAAAGTCTCACTTAGGACCACTCGTTTAGGGCCTATCTGTTCCATATAGGTGACAGGTCCTGATACAAATCCCATGTTTTCAAACTTGTTCTGCAAGGCAGCCAACTCAGCTCTCGCTCGTGCAAGTTCGGTCGAATCTCCTTCTCTAGGATAATCTTCTCCTTCCAGGAAGTTTGCTGCGAACTTCCGTTCCATTTCCTCCGCAGCAACCATGATTTGTTGTAACGTGTGAGTGATGGGGAAAATTGCTTCGGCAACTTAGCCCTTATTGTCCGGCTGCGAAGCCCGTCAATGAACAGGTCTCTCCCTACTTGCTCACCGCGGTCAGTTTTCACGAACATTCTATAGAACCGGTTTCGATATTCTGCAACGGATTCGAGAGGTTTTTGTACTCAGTCCTTGATCATGTACAGTGCTTGCTCGGGGTGGACATAATCAAATCGGTTCATGAAATCCTGTTCGAAGATCGGGAGGTCAACCCACACGTAGGTACTATACCAATGATGAGCGTCTCCTCCCATTCGAGCCGGAATGTTAGTTTGTGCTTCGTGATCATCGTACTGTTGTGCTCTAAGCGTGGCCAGCCATGCTCCTGCGAGATGGTGCGCTAGATCAAATAGATAGAGATCAGGTGGCGTCATGGGAGCTCGTGCACGTGGGGCGGGTTGATTTGGTGGATTAGCATTCTGTTGCGGAATCGGATTTGGCACATTGGCAGCCATATTGGTTGCTCGTCGGTTAGCCGATCTGCTTCGAGTGACGATAGGGTCGCGTCTATGCACGTTCCATGGGCGAGGTCGCCCACGATTAGCCAGGTCGCCTAATTATTGTGCTATCAACCCTAAGACCCTAGCCTCGTGTCGGGCTCCGATACCAACCTCACGCCCGGCGCGACTTCCTGATCGGAGTGGGATGTGGGCCTGGAAGTGCGAAAAGGGGTGTGCCAAGGATTTTTGGGAAAAGTGGGGGAGTCTTTGGGGTATGAATGCAATTAGACAAGCGAGGGGCGCGTGGGACTCAAGGCCCAATGGGGCTGGGGTACTGTGGGCGGCGGTTTGCGGGGAAGTCCCTCCTCGGAGGAGGCGGTCCCGAAAAGTTGGGCCGTCGGGGGCCGCCACGTGGTGCAGGCCGCTGCGTGTTTGGGTTGGGCCTTCGAAATTCCGGGGTTCTCCGCTCGCCGCTACGTCGGCAATTCCCACAAGGCGTGCTGGGCCAATAAGGGGCTATGGCCGGCCACGGAACGACGCTGAGTTGATGATACGGGAGAAGGAGGCGAAAAGGAGGGAAACTGGTGGTGATGACGACAAATCCCGGGTGGGTGAAGTAGTAGGTATGGTCGGGGGAAGGGAAATCAGAACACCGGGGGTCGCTAGTGGTGGCGCAGTGGAATTCCCGCGGACACAGTCGATTCTCCGTGTAGCAGGGGTATCGCAGCCTTAGGAGTTCGTTTATCCAAGGCGTGAAGTAATCCGGGTCATAGGATGAGTCTGAGCTCCAAGATCGCGTCATGGTATCATCGTGTGTGGGACAACTCTGGTCGGGATATCGTCACCGTGCACGAGCACGTGTAGGACGGGCGAACTTAGTTGCGCCTCAGCGTGCTCGTGCGGGATGATGGTTTCGCCGCGAATCTTTTTGGGTGGGCGGATCGACGCACGTGGATGCGTGTAAACGCGCGATTCGGATCGTGTTTACACGTGTCTTCGCGCGGCGTTCGCAGGACCCGACATCGGATTGTCTAATGGCTCCGTAGGTTCGGTTATGCGAGATGCAACCACACCACAACCCAAGCAACAACGAGAACAAAAATCGTTGTCGGGGCCAAGTTCTTATCCTCTCTACAACTGTATCAGATGCAGGGGATGATTCATCACAAACAAAAGCAAGGACAAGGATTTTCAGCAAAAGATAGACAAGCAGGCATAGCATCCATACATCCAGTAATCATACACATAATGCAATCGAGACGGAAATCGCAAAGACAAGTGTGAGCAAAAACCCAAGTCCAGATTCCAAAAAACCGAGACGAAAAACAGGAACGGGCAACCGCCCGGAGCCGCAATCAAAATGTATGTACACAGATGAAGAGGGGGAAGAGACAAAGAAACAGCAAACNGGGCAACCGCCCGGAGCCGCAATCAAAATGTATGTACACAGATGAAGAGGGGGAAGAGACAAAGAAACAGCAAACCCGCGTCCATTGACCTCAACTCTCTCTCCTCCTCTTCTCTCTCTTCTCCGATGCGGACAGTCCGTCGTCACGCACCAACCCACGAAGTCGTCACCCCACTTAGTCCTCCCGCACCCGTCGGATTCGCCCGTGCCCACAGTCCGTCGTGGCCCACGTCAATCCCGCGCGTTCGGCACCAGCCCGTCGGGTCGCCCAACTCCTACTCTACTCACCCCTTACTTCGCTCGTGTGCCGACCCTTCCTGATCGCGCAACCTCGAGCTTCCAACAACGGGTTAAGAGAGCTGACTAATCGCGCAACCGGAATTTATAGTGTGCATGTATGAGCGAAGAACACGGAATTACCAGGACTTAGAACGGGGATTAGCCTGCGTTCTGCATGATGAGGCCGCGGCGTGGGGGACGTAGCCCTTCTCCACGCATCGATCTGAGCATGCAACCCGCGACTTACAAAAATCCCAGCAAAAGAAAAGAGAGGGAGGGCGGGAGAGACGAAGTGCGAGAAGAAAGATACGGTTACAATGACGCCCGCCCAAAATTACAGTTACACACACGATTAAGGGCGCCCGTTAATCAGAGTACCGTTGCAGCCGCATGAAGAAGCGCGTAGACAAAAGGCGCCGCGCGACAGAAAAATCCTAATTACTGAATTCCTAAATTCCTATAAAAAAGCACAAACTTCAGGGGGAAAGTCCGAAATTTCGAGAGCTATCGGAGCTTGACAAAATTTGAAAGAGATTCAAAAGAAAATTCAAAAAGAACGAAGCAAATTCTCGCGCGATGTCCGCGCCCAAAAGATCGAAACCGAAACGAAAGAAGCGACGTCAACATTTATTAATCGCGCGTGTGGTGGCGCGCCAGCCATCAGCCGAGCAATCAATCAACCGGCCGTCCCAGGACACACACAGCTCCGAACCCAGCCCTTCGAAAAGAAGCGACGAAAAAGACGAAAAAGCAAGGATACTGATGCAATTTCCCACCGATCCTGATCTCCCGTAACTGGCCTAATCTTCCCAACTTAGGACCCCTCATTGCAACCGCGCAGAAAATCGCGCGTTTCAGAAAGTGGTTCGTCACATCATATCTTTACTGGGCCCTGCACTAACCATTAATACGTCTATATTCTCAATGATGTGGTACATCGCCTCGATCTGGACCATACCTGACCAGACAATCAAAGATCTGAACCGAAAAACTAGAGGTTATCTATGGTCTGGGGACCCTAACAGAGAGAACTACATACCAAAGATTGCATGGCACTATATCACGAGGAGACCGGCTCACGGAGGCTTGGGGATAATAGATCCCAGACAGGAAACAAAAGCCCTCCAAACGAAATGGATAGTCAAACTCATGACCAGACAATCGCTTGCATGGAAAAAGTTGGTGCTTGACAGAATAAGAAACCTGGTGCCAAAAACGTGGGCCCCCAATATGTCAGGTCTATTCTGCGTGATGAATAAAGACTGGAGGCCTAAAACAGGAAGGAGGAGGCGGAGGAGAGGAGACATTCCAAGACAAGAACAAGGATCGCTTCCCTACTGGACAGCCTTGCTACAAATCTGGAGGGAAATCATGCCAGAAAAGATAACAGACGCAGGTCAAAGGAAGTAGTACTGAGGCAGCCACTCTTTG